TCGAACTTTATTATCAGTTGTTGCAGTAAAATGTTATTAAAATGATGAAAACTTATGTTTTCATATGATTTCTGTTAAAATCTTGTTCCTATGTATTCCGTCGTTGTTTGACAAATCAGAGACGATGAAGAGTCGTTGCATGGACAGCAGTAGAGTAGAAACTTTAAAATGTGAATTAAAAATCACTTATTTATTCACCTTGACTGAAATTTATGCACCTTAGCGATTTATTTTATACAAAAGAAACACTTTTTTATTTATTTAGTCTTCTACATTAAATCTTTCATTTTAACTAACAATTTGTACGCTGTTACGAATGCGCTTTAATGAATGGGTGGTTAGAATAAAATATTCCCATTATATTTTATCTAGATTTATATTGTTGTTCAAAGTTCTTACTAATGTGTTAAATATATAATTTAAAACGTACATTTTCAGAGTTGAACTAGCACAGTTTCTGATTTGAGTTTTATTTTTATTCATATTTTAAATTTTGATGATCCAACATCACTCACAAGGCAGTGAGGGTCAGTTTAATGTCATAACCAGGACAGAAATTTTATTAATATTTTAAATATTTATGCAGTATAAACTTTAATGAAATATTTAAATTTTTCGTGGTTTTAAAAATGTGAGCAAATTGTCGATGAGTAAAAATAAATTAAAAATTTTAAGCTTAACCGACTTTCAAATTTACAAACGAGTTTTAGAGCCGACTTCTAATTGTTTTGGTTAGTTTTAATTAACATCAATTTTATTTTATGCCCTATTTATCTTGCATCTAAGAAATTTTATTCAATAAATCAAATACTTGGATTTATTAAAAGAACAGTAGTCAGAAGGGAGAATTCGATCATTCTAAATCTGTACAAAACAAAACCCATCTTGAATTCTTGAATTCTGAGCTCAAATTCTCATAATCAATATAAGTTGCTTCACAGTGAAATAAGTATATAAGGTAGACAATGTTTACAACACAATAAATGATTTAGATTACATATGTGTCACTTTGAAGAAGGGAAAAACTCATGTTGGATTACCAGTAAATTTATTTACTGAAAGAATTGACTTTAAAATAATATTCTTTATTCTTTACTCCAAATGAAGTTGGTGTTGGTTTCCATTGGATACAATTTTTTTGGGTCGGCATCAATAGCAGGATCCGTCTGGATCCAACAGCTCGGTGTAGTTTTGGTGTCAAAGTCAACGGCGTAACAATTTTTACTTTGGAAGCAATGGTCCGTGCACGATCGGACATCGTTGAAAGGTGCCTGCTCCAATCCTATCAGTGAAAATCCAAAACTGAAAAATTGAAAATTGTCCAATTTATGAAAAAAAATTGTATCATTTCATTAGTGTCAACAAATTTATCAGTAGCTGAAGAAAAATAAAAATTACTTGGAGGTATTATTCAACTAAATTTTCAAAAAAATGTTTGAAGAAATTGTTCTTACGTTTGGCGTCAACATTGACAAGAATGTAATTAGTGACGTTTTCTTTTGATTTCAACAGCGCAGAGTCAACGATGATGTCTGTGGCCTGAATCGAGCATGGAGGCACGGCACTGGCGTCAAAGTTGACCACGAAACAACCTTTCTTATAGTAGCAGAACGACAGGCAAGACTCAGTATTATTTATTTCTATTTCATACAAGCCCGGGAAAGAGGCATTTGATGAAACATTCCATGCCTTTTCTGAAAATTTGGGTACGTGTATGTGTGTGTGTGAGAGAGAGAGAGAGAGAGAGGAAGAGAGAGAAAAGAAAGAGAAAAAGAGAGAGATGTTAATTGTGTGAAAGTTTAAACTGATTCAGTTTTTTTCATAACAAAAAAGTTGAATGAATTCATTACTTCCGCCAGGTAAACTCAACTCTCAGAAGCCACGCAGATAACCCCAACGCACATCAGAAATATTTCAGACCACATTTTAACGACTGAAATTTTTTGAAATAATTTTTTTCAAATCAAATTTTCCCTAAATGGAAAATATCAAAACAACGGTTCGAAGATAAAATAATTTTTACTACCAACCTGTCTTTTCAAAAGTTGATACTTAGTACAACGAGGTCTTAACTTTGGAGTGTCCTTTTTATACTACAGAGTCTACGCGTTTTATCATGTTAGTTAGGATGCAACGCATTTATCAATGATTAAGCTAATTATACTACAGAGTCTACGCGTTTTATCATGTTAGTTAGGATGCAACGCATTTATCAATGATTAAGCTAATTATACCAGGAAGTAAAATTTAGATTAAAGTTAATTTTAAATTTAATTGGATCATTAAGAAAGCCTATATAAAAATTTATTCTGGATTTCTTAGTAAAAACTAATTAAAACAACTATAAATGCGACGTTGTTAAGGTTGTTAAGTTTTTATCTACTTGTCTGTAGAGAAATTTTTATTTAATTTTCTCACCATAAAATATTAGTTAATGACATAAATATCGTTTTTCATTAACGATAATTAAAGCAGTGCATTTGGTGAAGCAAAAATATACGTGAGCTGTATGAAGTGAAAAATGAATTAAAATTCTATCTCCGGTGGCAAATCCAGAAAGGTTGCAGGGGGTGGATGATTTTCAAAAGCCTAAGGTAAGGACTTTTTTGCCGATTTCAGTTTCTGGAGGTAATTTTTGAATAGTTGAATTGGTGACATTTTTTCACACAAAATATCCAATATTATATAAACATATGTTAACAACAACAACACACGTTTAGACGACACCATGAACACATTTCTTACATATATAAACATATGTTAATAAAAAGAAATTCGATTTTAATTTTTTTGTTATTGCGGTTTCCGTACAAAAAGTGTATCATAGAGAGTGAATGAAAATTAAAAAAATGAAAATTATTACAAAAAACCATAAACATTTTCTCATTTTTAAAATATAGTTGAGCTAATTAATGAGTTCCATTTTACATAAAACGCTTTTTTTATTCTTTAATTATACTCGTCAAGAATAAAGATTTTAACGTCATTCAGTTGAATTGTCACCGAGTTAGCTCGGTCAGTAGAAGTGCCATGTTCACGCTGCTAATACGAGATAACACGGTTTGAATACTGTCTTTCCGAAACTAAAAGACCGCGTATAAATGATGCGGTGCTTGCGCGTGCACACATGATATGCATGTGCCTCGTGTGTTGTGGATGGTACAGCCTTTGTGGCATGAAGGCAAAGGTTTAACTATTGATATAAGTAAATCGGAACATGCGGAGAAATGTCCATCCATCGCATTGTTTTGCGCTTGGTCGCATTTGAATGTATTTGGTAATAAAATATTCCACACATTTAAGAAACTTTCGTAAAAAAATTATTATTTGTTTTTACCGCAAAATTGAAATAATCAACTAATTGTATTTTAAAAAAATTAACAATGTACTATACTGCTTACCTTAAGAAACTTTGTAACATTTTATATTTTATTCATCTACTTGAATAAAAAAATTAATCATTGACTGTAATTTTACTCCAAACAAATACTTAGTTGGTAGTGAGTCAGTTCAAAACCAGCAGTCATCGAACTTTATTATCAGTTGTTGCAGTAAAATGTTATTAAAATGATGAAAACTTATGTTTTCATATGATTTCTGTTAAAATCTTGTTCCTATGTATTCCGTCGTTGTTTGACAAATCAGAGACGATGAAGAGTCGTTGCATGGACAGCAGTAGAGTAGAAACTTTAAAATGTGAATTAAAAATCACTTATTTATTCACCTTGACTGAAATTTATGCACCTTAGCGATTTATTTTATACAAAAGAAACACTTTTTTATTTATTTAGTCTTCTACATTAAATCTTTCATTTTAACTAACAATTTGTACGCTGTTACGAATGCGCTTTAATGAATGGGTGGTTAGAATAAAATATTCCCATCATATTTTATCTAGATTTATATTGTTGTTCAAAGTACTTACTAATGTTGTTTTCAATTGTTTTATATTAAGGAG